CAGCAGGAACTTTCATTGATGAGCTATATTAACAACTAAAGGAAAGCTTTACTCCAGGAGAAGAAGTATCAACTTTTGATTAACGCGTAGAGGTTGCAAAGCCGTTGCCGGGGGCATGAGGGGCTGGGTTGAAGGCCAATCTCCCAAAAAAACCTTGTTTGTACGGCAAGAAAGTCTTCTTCTTCAAATTCTCAGATGCTGCTTTATTCACTGTGTAATGTAACTCATGTGCCGACACTGGAACTTTTCTCCTTGAAGACGCTGAACCAGAACTGTCGGTGGACAAGAAGCTCGGTTCTTTGCCATCTTCATGTTTTTTGAACAAACCTGAGTACTTCCTGAGATGATCCTTGTCATGCGCATATCCCTCAGATGCGCTTCTAAATAACAGAAAATCTCTCAGCCTCCACTTCCTTGAAGAACTCCTTGAAGAAGAAGAAGAAGAAGAATTAGATGATACTGAGGCTTTTGGATTTTCTGCTGGTTGGTTGGTGATTTTATCTAGCTGTTTCTCTTCTTCCCATGTATATTCGGATGCTCTAAATAGAGTCAGTGATCTTGATGCTCCAATGCTTGAACTGGATGTTAACCCTGAAACTTTCTCTACCTGTCTTCCTCTTTCATTTTGATCTGTTCTCTTTCGGCTATTTTCAACTGCAGTTGCAAATGGATCTGAGTCTTTCTTTTTTCCTGGCCAGAATGCTTCACGTATCATCCTTTTCCCCTTCTGCATCGAAGATCTCGGTGAGGAAAGTGGGCTTCTCTGGGTAAAACCCTCGCCTTGTAATCTAGGCGGAGGCTTCAGGGGGCGGATTTTGCCTCCATCAAAAAGTTCATCCGCTGAGAGTGATGTCTTTTCTAGTTCGACACAGAAATCAAAAGCAAAATCATCTTCACTATTGGTGTTGGCTGTTGCCCGTGGTGATTTAGGTGTGCCAGGCCTTTCATCCCAATGAAAAGTAAACCCGGTTCTTTCTTCATTGATATCGATCAAGCTGTCGAAATAACTATAAAACTCAGCCACATGTGAAGGACTAGTTGGAGTGCTGAAGGTGCAATCCCCAAACCGTTTCGGTGTAGATGGAGCGCTCAAGAATGGCGAAGTTCGAGCCTCGTTGAAGTCGAAATCCATGCCCGGTGCTGGTACTATAACTTGTAGTTTTAACATGGTTCTTTCTGTACTTGCTTTCGAGTTTTTGAAGTGTTTGTTTGAGAGAGAGAGAGATTTAGATCAGACAGGTTGATGTCTGATAAGGAAGTAATAAATATAAAGGGAAGGAGTAGGAATAGAAGGGAAGGGAGATCGTTGGCTATATGAAGTCATAAAATAGGAGCCGACTTTTAATACTTAGCCATTTTCATGTCATTTTCAGGGAATATACGGCACTATTAGAAACATGAACAATATTGCAATTTTCTTGAAAAAAAAAAAACTAATTTTCAATACAGTTTTCAATTGTTTTTCAAATGAAGAAAAAAAATCAACAATACATTTTTCTCTTTTTTATATACTAATACTTTTTAGTTATGTAAAATATTAAAATCATTTTTTATATATTTTCATATTAAAGTAGTATTTTAAATTAATTTTTTATTATAAATTTAATATAAGCATTTTTTTAGTTGACAATATAAGTTTTTCATGATAATTCTTGATCTTAATAAAATAAAATTAATATTCCACAATCATATCATCACAAATACATAATATTAATAACTATTATAAATTATGATTTTGGTTTTTTATGCAAATTGTAATAATCTTGAAGTATTTTGAATCTAAAAAATAGTTTTTATTTTAATAAACAAACATGTTTTTTTGTTTTTTTATTGAAAAAAGCTATTTCCTATTATTGAACTTACCTTATATTATTTTCACATGAAAATATAAAGGGGGTGTTGTTTGATATTTTTTTTAATTATATAAATATTTAGATTAATTTATATATATCTTAATTAATCCTACAATATTTGAAATGAATGATGACATAAGTGTCCAAATATTTTTAGTACGTGGAGATGTAGCGTCTTATGGAAAGCCATCGAGCCACGTCTGTGTGAATTTTCCATGAAGTTAGGGGGTGAAATGTTGAAGTTCATAATCAGATTTAGATTATGAAAACATGAAAGTCATCGTCTTGGCTCCACGGCTTCCCCTTCCCCTCCTCCACGCCTTGTCAATCAACGGTTCCGTCCATCACCAATCCGTTAAATAAAGAATTTTCTCACGAATAAGAGTATTTTTTTAGTCTATTCGTATTTCTTTGTGCTCATCAAAATTCGTGAAATAAATTTATGTTTGACCTCTCTGGGGTATAACTTGTACATAGGCCAGCAGTACAAAATTAAAAAAATAAATAAATAAGAAGGGAAATGAAGGCATAAATGAGCACGAGGGCATAACTCGATAGGTCCAGCATCTTTTCTGGTAAAAAACAATTGATATGTTGCCAGGAACCAACACATGAAAAGGTAACAAGAAAGAAAACGGGGCCTTGAAAGCTATAGAAAACTTGTGAACATGAATTAGGGCTCTTTGAAATCTAATTTTACACCATGTTTTTTAAGAGTTTGGTTTTTTTATTTTAAATTATTTATTATATTTATGAATTGTTTTAATGTATTGATATTAACAATATTTTTTAAAAAATAAAAAGTATATTATTTTAATATATTTCTAAAAATAACATTAGAAAAGCCACTTTCATTAATGTTTAAAATATTATCCAAAAAATTGAAGGAAAAAAAGAAGCTGAAAAGACTGATTTCTCATTTATGACGTGGATTGGAAAGTTTGGTGAGGAAAAGTGAACGAGGAACCGGCCAACGTTAGAATTTCCATGACGGTGACACGAGCATGTTTTAATTGCGTTGCGAGAGCAGTGATGCTATATTATAAACACAGCTTCCAAGCGGGCGTCATGGCATGCGTGGTAGAGTTCTTAGGTGTCCTTGTAGCGTTAAGAAGAAAAATTGACTCACGAATTATTGTGATAGTGAGATTCATAGTTGAATCTCACAACAAAATAACTATCCAACAACTCATGATTTTTTTAAATAAATTTCCTACCGTTACTTCTCGTCATTCATCATTTCGCTGTACATCATTGGGTGTTTATTATACGGCGTTGCAGCATTTATAATCCTACAAGGGGCACCTTTAATGCAAAGGACGTCACAATTTGTTATGACTAAATTGTAGCGCTGAAAGGATAAATTTTTTTCCAAATTTAAGTAATGCTAGTAATTTTAAAAAATGAGATTTGTGTCATTTACTAATTTAATAATATAATTAAAAAAAAACAAAAGTAAATAGATTGAACTAAACTAAAAAATTAACAATAATTAATTACAAAAAATAAACTCTTGTCAATATCAAAGAAAGATTCTTAAAAGTTCTTAATGTTATCACTTGATAACAAGACAAAAATTAAATAAAAAAAAGATAACTTGTTGAAAGCATGGTGAAAAAAAATCAAAGTCCGATTCCTTGTAAATTAATTGTAAATTAAATGTTGAAGAACAAGTTGAAAAATAATCAATTTTAACAAAGTATTAAAAAAATTGACTCAAATCCACCTAAGTTAACTTGTTAAATTTATAACTTGATCTTGAAAATAAAATCACCTCATAGAAAACAAATTGAATAAAATTATGAATCTCAATTCTTAAATCAATCTAATTTTGAATGGTGAAAATAAAAAAAAAATTGATTTAAGAAAAAAAACAACAAAAATATAAGACTTAATCAATCTAGGTTAATTTGCCAAGCCCATAACTTAGGACAATAGATTAGGATAACTCCATAAGAAGAAAAATAACAAAAAAAATCACAAAATCTGGTCTATAATCAATTCAATATTAAAGATGGAATTAAAATAAAAAACTTAAAAAAAGACTGAAGTAAACTCGATCCAGTCTTCCATATCAAATAATTAACTCAATTCAAAAGCTCAAATTATTAAGGAATATCCCAAAATATGATTTATATTGTTATCTAATATTTTGCTTTAAGTGAAAGCTTTTTAAACTTGAAACTAACATATGCTCACACTACTTTGTGCTATTAATTAATTTAAATTAGAAGAGAGAATATAAGATATGAGATTTGAATTCGTAATTGTTTAATTATTAAGACTCTAATAGTATATCAAATAACTAGTTCAACCCAAGCATTTTGAGTTATTAAGTGAGGTCTCAACATATAATTTATATTATTCTCTAATATTTTAAATATGTGACCTTGTTCATGAGGCAAGGATTGCCCTATAGAATACAAACTTGAAAAAATCACAATTATAAAACCTTAATCAATCAAATGACGAGGATGAAATAAAAGAAAAATCAATAAAAAAAGACTTGAAAAAATAAAAATTAATCAAAAAAATGATGATCATATTTTACACAAAAAATTAATAAAATCAAATGATGTGGAAAAAATTGAAAATAGTAATTAATTAAAAAATAAAAAACAAAAGGATCTGATTTGATGCAAAAATAAAATAATAGAATATCTTTAATTTTTGGCAGGCCAATGCGAATCCTAATAAGAAAAGAGAATAAAGAGGGGAAAAAAAAGATTGTCAGAGCCTCATTATTGACATGCATTGAACCATTAAAAAAAACTCGACACACTATTTTTGAATCAACTATGGACAGTGTGTTACACCACATAATGAAGTTGCACATGTCCTTAGAGCGCAGCGGCTTCACCACGCACACTAGTATTGGACACGACAATAAATTTGACATGCCAGTCCTTTTCAATTCTTGAAATTGTTTTGGTATCAAATTGATCCTCGAACGTTAATTGTTTTAAATTAATAAAATTAAATTTTATTTTATAAAATTAAGCATTAAACACATGTTGGAATTTTCCATCACATTGTTGGATCCCCATACATACACAGGTAATTAAAAAAAATATCAAGTATAATATGAAAATAAACTCAATATTTAAATTGAAAAATAAAAAATCAAGAGGAAAAAAAGGGCTGAATCTCTCCATGCAATTCATTCCTTGATGTTTGCAAGAAAAAGGGGTTTAATGTTTGTCTAGTATTCAAATTCAATTTTAATTGCTTCAATTATTTTAATTTTAATTTTTGAATTTAAGTATTAACAGAGAGAGTTGGTTTTCTTTCTTAACATTACCAGCAGCCAATGCCAAGCTAAACGAAAAAAATGATGAAATCCAAACTCAAATTAATCTAATACATAATAAATCAACCAAAAATAATAATAATTAAGTAATTGGAAACAAAGAAACAACCAATACCATACAAAATAAAAGTTATCATTGGCATCGATAATTTCAAGTGAGAAAATTTGAGGCACACAAGTGATCGCATTGTTACGCTCACTAGTTTTGCACGCTGTTAGTAAATAGAAGAGTTTTAATTCCAATTAGGGTTATTAACTAGATCACTTGCCACGTTGTTCAATTTTTTTTTAATGGTAATAAAATATTCAAACTTTGCTAACATATTATATTTTTTAAAAAATCAATCTATATAAGAGTTAGTTTAATGTGACTTATTTATTTTATATATTCAAAAATAATTTCAATAATTAATAAAAATTTAATTTGACTAAAAAATTTAATATATTTTTTCTTTTAAATATTGAGATAAAAATATATTAAATTATCTTAAATTAGCTTAAATTAATTTATTAAATCTATGATTCAGGTCGTGAGATTATTATGATTTATAAAAATTAAATTAAAACTAATTATAAAACTAAATTTTTAATCAATCTAATATATATAGTTCTTTTTTTTCATTTGCATTCTTCATACAAAAATTAACACCTCAGATCTTTCATGGGTCCTTTTACTTTTTATTTAACAATTATGGTTTAATTTTGTAAAATTAATCATCAATAAATTATGAAATGATATTCAAAATCATAAACACGTGAAATAATGTAAGATGAAAGAAATATTAAAAACATAATGAAAATGAAATATAAAAAAAAACATAAATTATTGTGGGTTGCAATAGTTTCTTATAATATTTTTTAAAATATTTTTATTATTTGATTTTTTTATTCTATATTTAATTAATAATTATATATCAAGTTGACTTGATATTGAGTTTAATATTTTATTTTGGTTAGCTTTATATGAAGATCTTGAGATATTAAAAATATGTTTTGATTAGGAATTAATGTTTGATTTGGAAAAATAAAATTATATTCTATTAATTCAAACCAATTTAAATTTCAAGTATCCAATTTCAACAAAAACAAATATTCAATCTCCTTTTTTCCCCTAAGAAACAATATATTTATCT